CACTACTTGTATTGTTTTCTATTTCTGATATGCACTCATTACTCTCCGACACGTTCGCGAGCTCGCGAACCTTATCTTCGATTAGCTTTCTTCGATGCGACATTATCAACATGCAAACATAGATTGAAATTTGAATAGTTGAAATGTAAATGAATGTGCTTGGCATATCCATATCAGTGTCCTACCAACCTACCACTTGTCTATCACCCCCCTTCCTTCTAGGTGACATCCCCTTCTAAATAACATCGTCCAGCTACACTACACATTTTTACAAGTTCTAGCTTGCAGAAACTTGTTTTTATTTATAGACGTACCTTACTGACAAACTGTTAAACAATAAATAAAATAATGTCAATTAAACATACGCACACAGGTAATTTTTAACGGTTTAAATACGTGGGTCATATTGACCCGAACATACTATAGGTAACAATTTAATTTTTATCAAAAAAATCAGGAAGTTCTAAGAAACAAGAAAACGTTACGCCGCATAATAATTTGCAAAATAAGAAATAATTTTTCTTTGGGTCAAATAGACCCGAACAGGACAGCAGGGTTAAACTAAATTTCATCATTTTTAAATGCTACTCTTTTGTTGTTAATGTGTTTATTTATTTGTTTGTTTTTATTTTAATTATCTGACCAATTCTACACAGACTATGACTGCCATAAAGAAAATAAAGTTTATTTATTTATATATGTATATATTATTCATTTATTTATTTTGTTTACTTATTTATGACAAAATAAAATAAAAGAAGAACAAGCTGCATTTATGAAGAGAAAGAAATTAATGACAATATATTCTACATAATTAAAAATATACAAAGTGTCCACGAACGCTCTTCACAGTGGACTACCTAAGTCTGGCATCACAATGGTGGAGATTTTAAAAACTTTTCCAAACATTTATAATTTGTGTGTATTTGTCCCATAAGTAGTTGGGACTATTGTTTTTTTTTAATTACCTGAAGAATAATTAAGACCTTTTGGTTATGAACGTTCATTCTGTGCGTTTGGTATTATTTGTTGTTCGTGAATTTGAAGATATTTACTATGAATTTCTTTTAAGGTTATGTTACTGTTTCATTATAACTTTAATTATTTGTTTACTGTATTTCAAGTTATTTTGTTTTTGTTTTTATCAATGATATTTCAAAATAAAGCAATAAAGTATTAAATTTATTTACCAAGTTGAAAAATATTAAAATTGATGTTTTATTATTTTTTCGTTGCCAATGATTTTATCTTGTAAAAGACTAAAAATATTTGTTTTCTCGTAGTTGAAGTTGTAATATAATATTCTGTGGAAACTTTTCTATCAAATTGGATTTTTTGATTGGATTTTTTGAGTTCAGATAATGAATTGAACAAAGTAGTAAAATACATGAAAATGAAATCAGAAACATAGAATGGAAATGGGCGGTTGTAAAATAATCAAATGGCAATCAATTATTATTGTATACATCCATGGAAAATCGTATATGTGTATGTTGTGTATTTGACATTTAAGATCATAATTATATCAATTAAATGCAATTGCTAATTTCGAGTTGATAGTGTTACATTTTTTTCTTTTTACAGGAGTATTTGTATGTAATGAGTAACCTAGCCCCCAATGTAGCTCCAGAAAAATTAGAAAAAATTGTAGCATCTGCTTTTGCCCTTCTTACCAAAGAAAGTGCAACATTGGATTACCAGATTTCCCTTTGGACAATTTATTGTTAGCTGCAATTATTATGGTAAGTATTAAAAAATAAACTGAGGTTTATGAAGAAATGTTTTTATTTTTACACCACATTTTTCTATTTTTGAGCTTCTAAAAGACCTTTAAGCAGTGTTATTCTTCAGCAACAGCTGTCTTTCAGTCTGAGTTTTTTGCAATTATTATTTACCGATAAGTCTGAAAATTTGAAAAGTGGGAAAAAAGGGAATAAGTGGTCGAAATTTCCGACAAATCAAGGTGGTATTAGGTTCTGCACTCAGCGAAATAAGCTGTCACCCCGTATTGTTATTTTTAACTGATATAATCTAGTTAAACACTTTTGAATGCAATGTTTCTATATGAAAACCTGATGTTTTATTCTCTGGAAGCCGTTTGTTTTTTATACTGGTTGCAGTCAATTGGCGTATTATACACCATTGTCATTAACTATTTTACAAGTCGTATGCATTTAAGCAGATCGGCTATATAGAAAAACCTTTTATTTGGCGTGGTACACTCAGGGCTCTTATATCAAGACGAAACCTTCTATAACAATAGTAAATTTTTCAGAAATAAGTAATAGAAGAGTTATTTATTTTATTCTCAAACTGTCCATTTTAAACCAATGAGTTGAGACTAAATACTTTTAGGCATGACCATACTGTAGCAAAGCTATTATCGGCCAAAATTTTCCAGCTCTCTGTAGTATCATTTAGACAACACTTCTCACCATATACCAAGCATCTCATCGGTACGATGGTGTTCTACCTTAGGATTGGGGAACACAGTAGTCACAGTACAAATCTTAGCCATGAACAATGATGTAGGTACTCGTGAGTGTATGTGTAAATGTGTGTGTCGTTTTCAATAAACAGATCTACAGGTCATGGCATAACTATAGCTCTATGTCACGTTCTCAATTGATCTACGGGTGTTTACTTGGTTATACATTATTTACACCTTTCTATTAGCTATTGAGCCATGAGAATTTCCTCATCCAGTACGTCCTTCGTTGGTACTCGGGACCACTCTAAATATTATTAGCTTGCTGCCTCCGTTGGCTGTGATAGATAGATAGATAGATATTTTTATTTGCCCTTTGTTACATACATGTATGCATAGGGTATGTCAAAAATTACAATATAACATTAGAATAATACATAGTTACAATTAAAAGTAATATACAGTACAAAGACAATAAACAATAAGTCGCTAACAATTGCACAAAACATATTAAAAATACAAATAAAAATATGCAACATAAAATATGCAACAGACATTGGGCATCTTCTAAATAATTTCAGTTAAACATTCTGTAAATTCACGTACTGAATAAAAGGCATGGCTGATTAAGAATTGTTTTAATTTTTTTTTGAAAATTTCTTAGTGAATTAAAATTTTTAAAACTAGACGGTAGTTTATTAAAAAGTAGGGAGCCTGCATATTCAGGAGATTTTCTGAAATTTGTGTGATTATGATGGGGAAAATAAAGTATCCTTGCATTTCTTGTGTTATACGCGTGTAAGTCAGTTGCTGTTTTAAGAACATTTAACTTAGTGAACGTATGTGATAGTAATTTATAAATATATATTGAAGCAAGCGTAAGAATGTTATTATTTTTAAAACATTGTCGACAACTGTCCTTAAAGCGTAAACCAAATATTGTTCGAATTATTCGTTTTTGTAGGATAAATACTCTCAAACTTTCCGATGCCTGTCCCCAAACAATAATGTTTTGACTGATTATGGAATACACTTGAGAATAGTATAGTGTAACCAACGCATTTATATTAACGTCGTCCTTTAACGACAATATCGCGAAATATGATTTATTTAATTTTAAACAGGTATTGTTTACGTGTTCACGAAAATTTAAAGTGTTGTCCACAATCGTGCCAAGAAACGTAGTACTGTTAACTGATTTAATAACCACGTTGTCTGCAATTTCGAACAAAGAAGTAGTTTTTTTTCTTTCACCATAAGAAAACTGAATACACACTGTCTTATCCAGATTTATTACCAAATTATTTCGGTAGCACCAGTTTTTAAACGACAGTATTACATTTTTGATCTGAGATTGTGCTAACTCGACGGATTCCGCTGAGACAAGTATGGTGGTATCGTCTGCATACATGAATATATGTTTTCTAAGATATATTCAGGCATATCATTTACATAAAGTAAAAATAGTAGTGGACCCAATATGCCACCCTGGGGTATTCCTAAATTACTGTAGTATATTTCCGAGGAAATATTATTAATAGACACAAAAAGAGGTCTATTTGTTGTGTACGAATAGATCCATGAGTTAACTGGTTCGCGAATGCCTATAGCTATAAGTTTTTCTTTCAAACACACTGGATCAAGACATTCGAAGGCCCTCGAGAGATCAAAGAATATTACAAAAGTGTACAAATTTTGATCGATTTTTTCATGGATAACTTGAATTAAATCTACTGTAACTGTTTCACACGAACGTCCTTGTCGAAATCCATATTGTTTGTTACTAAGGATTCTGATTTTATCTAAAAATGACGTAATTAAATTATACACTACTTTTTCATAAGTTTTTGCGATAACGCTTAAAATAGATATGCCTCTGTAATTTGACAATAAGTTTCGTGAACCTTTCTTATAAATCGGTACTACTTTTGATGTTTTTAAAATATCTGGGAATTTTCCGGTACTCACGGTAGTTAATTAATTCAGTTATAAAAGGAACTAATTGTAATGAACATTCCTTTAAGAGTGAAACCGGCATGTCATCAAACCCTGTGGACTTCTTGTTTTTAAAAGAACTAATTACCTCCAAAACATCGTCTTCAATGACTGGACAAAAATAAAGTGATTCATTAGGTGTACGTCTTGTTAATGTATGGTTATCTTTATTCCATTGACCAGTTTTTGGAACTATGGATTCTACCGAATCAATTAGATACTCAGCAAAAACATTAGATATTTCTTTAGGGCACTCTAATTGTCTATTATTGTATTCCAGTTTTTTTGGAAGGTCAAGTTTCTTGGTTCTATTTAATTTTGTGTTTACTAGTTGCCACATGGTTTTTGTTTTATTACTGGAGTTATTGATTAAATTCGAAAAGTGCTTCTGTTTTTCAAGTTTAATTTTGTGGTTAATCATTTGTTTTTTTTTGCTTATAATTTTCGTTGCTGATAATATTAAAGTTTTTCATCCCAGAAGGACTTGAACATTTCATCTACTGATACAAATTTTGAGAAATCAATATCGATTTTACTCAATAAATATTTAAATTCTGCTACTGAAAGTTGACTAAATATGCGACACGATCTTTTTTCATCAGATGTAAGTGCCTGTTCTATTGTTTCTCATTTCAGTATTTGAACTGGATGATCAGAAATGGCTGGATCCGTTATACATATATTTAGCGTTCGAAAATCTAAGTTTGTTATTATGTAATCGATAGATGATTTGGTTATTATATTTCCGTATTTTGCTATTCGGGTTGCAACTGATATATGTGATTTTAGTTGAAAGCTTTCAAGGAGATCAGAGAAACATCTGAGATGGGAGGTATTGACAAGCCCGTTAATGTTTAAGTCACCGCAAATAATTATTTGCTTAAATTTATTATGTACTTTGCTTAACACTTCAGAAAAGCACCTAAAAAATGTATCTATACTACCAGATAGTGATTATGTGCCAGATGGACTGCTTCATGTAGGGATTTTCCTACCAGAGTCTTTATTTGATCTACCCTTCCTATTAGAGACCTTTCTCTTGGTCTTCGACCTCTTACCTTTCTGTATACTACCAATAGTTCCATACTCCACGTTCTTCTGGCTATGTTGCCGAAGGTATTTAGGTATGCTCGGTTTACTTTTTTTAATAGCATGTTTTTGACATTTCTGAGGAGCTATCGTCATTTTGTCAAGTGTTCACATCTGTCTACTACTTCGAAATTCGCCACTTGGTATATGTGCGGTAGATTAGTATTTGCTCTGTCTACGATGATTATTTTTGTTTTCCAGTGTTGATCTGAAATCCGTATTATTTGCTTATCAGGCTTGCCTTTCAATGATGGTAGCCTATCGACTTCTTTTGCTTCTAGTATATCTGTGTCATCTGCGTATCGTAAATTTGTGATTTTTCTGCCTTCCATAGTGATTCTTTCATTCAATTCGTCTAGTGCTTTCCCCATTATAATAATGCTGCTAGTATATAGCCCTGTCTAGCTCCTCTTTTTGTATTGAACGCATTTGAATATATTCCGAGTGCTTTTGGTCGAGTTTTTATCGTATAGATTTCTTATTGGGTTAACAATGTAGTTAGGCTTTCCCATATATCCCATTATATTCCAGAGGGGTCCAATTTTACTGAATCGAAAGTCTTTGTGTGTAATCTACGAAACAGAGCTGCATTGGTATATTAAGTTCTCTCACTATTTCTATTATTTGTCTGATATTCAGTATCCGCATTGTCATTCGGATGTTTCTGTGAGTAGAAAGTTCTTTAGTTCCGTCCATATATGTAGCATGTATATGTAGCAGAATTTTGCTTACTTGAGGGATGAGCGCAATGGTTCTGTAATTGCTGCATACGATTAGTGATTCTTTTTTATGGATAATAAAAGTTGATCAGCACCATTCATCAAATCATTCACCTGTGATCCATATCATGTTGCACATATCTAGTATTATTTATATGGCAGTCTCGCCCATTGCTTTCAGAGTCTTCGGTGGTAAATTATTTACCCTTGGGTTATTTGTTTCTTATTTGGTGAACAACCTTATCTACTTCTGCTCGTAAAATGATTCGTTCCGCCTCTTAAATTGCATTTTCTAGTGTTGTGAGACATGCATCTTTTAAAGTGTCTTTTTACAATTCTGAGCCGTAGTATTTTCAAGTTTCTGCAATGTGATGTAAGTTATATACCGAAATATGATTTGTGAATGTAATGCAACGTCTTTTGTTCTGGTTATTGCCTAACCGATATAATGAAATTATGTAGTAATTATAAAATCATGGTTATAATAATCTTAGTTTCAAATGTTTTAGGAACAAAACCCAAGCTTATCGCCGTACGAAATAATTTACAGGCTGTACCCTTACAAAGTATTTCTAAAAGATGGAGTGCAACACGTAGAGAACCTATTGACCGAATTAGGGTTACCTGCATCGAAGCAAACTGAGTCTGCAAATGTATCTACTAAAATACCCGCCTCTTCATCAACCTCAGTTAACTCCTATATAGAAACAAAGTACCAAAATGCTTTGTTAGAATCCATCGTACAAAGTTTAAAAGTTGCTGATGTTTGTATTGTTGGAACCAAAGGATGCGGAAAAAGTATGATCGTGAATAAAGTTGCGGAAATTTTTGGTCAAGACGTCGAAAATATTGTTTTGTATCAAGACATGACGTCGAGAGACCTGATTCAACAGAGAACGACTTTAGATAATGGAGATACGATTTGGAAGTTGTCGCCACTGATAGAGGCGGCGCTGGAAGGAAAAATCGCTGTTTTGGATGGTATCAATAGAATACATCCAAGTACGTTGACAGTATTACACAGGTACGTAAAATGAAATTAAGCGTTACATTTTTATTGTAAAAAATAGAAGTATACTTAACTAAACTCTATTTTTACACTATATGTTTATTCTTTATTGATATTCATCAGGCAGTGCCAAACATAAGACTGACTCGGAAAGTGAAAAGACTCCATTACATTAGAGAATTATATTTAATCTTCATAAGACTGGGATATTTACCTCACATTAAAGGCCAGCAGGGTACCAAACTACGTCATTACATTTTTTTATCTATGGATTTTATTGACAGATCCAATAAAAAGACTTCTGTTCTAAAAACGCCCTTACCTCGTATTACCTCGCTTCTTTCTATGGATTTGTTCCTCAAAATCTTATTCGATCCACTCTGACAACTGCGAAGGCGAATTCATGTGCGTAGTCAAATTTTTCGCTGGTGTTTGAGAAATGTCAGAAGTATATTTATTGAAAAGTAGCACGGCAAGTACTGAGCCATGTAAGAGCCCCTTATTGGGTGATCTTTGGTTGCTGCTGTCTTTACCCATGATCACCTCATAAGTAAGTTTTTTATGCGAATCGTAAGTGTTTTACATGATTTGGCTTTGAGGTATTGATATATGTCTAGGTTAGACTTCTATCAGCCTAGAGAACAAACTCTGGATTTAGATCGGGATACAGTACTAACGACCACTTACAAGTGATAAAGAACCTGATAGAGAAGTCTGCAGAATACAACAAACCATTGGCTCTGATATTCCTAGACTACTAGAAAGCATTCGATGCCATAAGCCATCAGAAAATGTTTAAACCATTGACAGAATGCTGAAAAGACCATGGCTAAACTAACATAATCCAATATATCTACCAAAGTGCACAGCTAGCTGTTAAGAACGCAGATCTAAACGAGCATGATATCAACATAAATGGAGAGAAGCTCAGTCATTTGAGATTTGCAGATGACATCGTCTTTATAGCCGATCATACGGATGATGCAATATTAATGTTTGAAAAATTATATCACGCTTCATTGGAGGTTGGGCTAAAAATTAATATATACAAGACGCAAATAATGACTAATCAAGCGCTAAATCGAAATATTGCTGTTGATGGAAGGGATATTGTGCTGACTGCATCGTATAACTACTTTCGACATGAAATTCGGTTATTCAGAGATGACCAGACATGTGACATTATTTATTAATGTTTGTATTTTGAGAACCATTTCCGAAGTGGAAATTGAAACGTCAGTAAACTTATTTTGAACTTCAATTGTGGTTTATTCCAATTAAAATAGTAAATGCTTTAATATTCCACAAAAAAATAGCTTCAGAACAATATTATTTAAATTTTAAAAATACAGAAAACATAGTTTGAAGCTCCGAGCTAGTCCACAGTGCCGCCCACTGTTCCACTTTTTTTTTAATGTATATGTTGAATATATAATCAGATCTTCGTTAGACGAATTTCAGTAGAGGGCAAGAATGAATGGCATTGTGATAAACAACATTATGCCATACAGGTGTGATACGGTGATCTTGAGTTGTTATTATTAGCTGTTAAAAATTTAGTCCTGTCCATTGTCTGATGTTTACGAACAACTACAACTAATTATTGAGGGAAAATTTAAGGAAACCCTGGTATAGGAAGACAGGAGAACTCATGGCTCATGAATGTAAAAGATTGAACTAGAACTGAAGGAAACGATCTCATACACCAAGCTTACAATAGACAAATCTGGTCGTCAACCTCAATCTACTTCTTCCTGTACCTCATCCCTTGATTGATAATCATCAGGGCCCATTTTACTCTGTCTGCTGCAGTTCTGAAGAGTATTGTTGTTCTTCCACTCCACTGCTTTAAATGTTTCAACCAGGACGTGCATTGATTGGATAACCAATTGCATCAACTCATATTTTTCATTTCTTAATATGTGACCAAAGTAGGAATTTTTCTTAATTCGACGTTAATAATGATGGTTGATAACTCTGGGTTTTCTTCGTGTTCATTTCAATTTGGCCCTTCAGACAGTAATAATTCAAGCAGCTATGTAATTAGGACTGATTGACGGAATTTTTCTCTGAACAAAATAGTTTAAGTCAAGCGTTTTAAGTATTCCACGTTTTTGCTGAAGGGCTTGAAATTTCATAGTCACCCTACATTTGCTAATATGCACCGAATAGAAGTAATACTGATTATAATATTGATTATCAAGGATCTGTTTAAGAGTTTCATAGAAAACACTTTCCTTAAGTTTAATTTTTTTTATTACAATTTGATTTACAATCTGCTTCATTTAAAACGATGGGTGAATGGTTTGAATATTAAGTCTGTTGGCCATAGCGTATTCAGTCTATATAGTTTATTATCAGTAATTTGGAAGCCTTGCTTTTTCATTTGGGTATCTCTCATTTCGTTAAGGTAATTTTTTTGTAATTTTTTGGATTTCTTCCTCTATCAAAGGTATAGCTTTAATCGTTCTTTAATTAAACTCTTTGTATTATCTTGGTTCAAAACTTTTTTTTTGTTTTTTACAATTGATTTTGTTATGCATTGGTACAGGAGCAGCTTATTTTCTATGGTCAGTTATATTTTCAATCTATAAGTCAACTCATTTGTCTTACTTTAATGTTAATCTGGGCTGCCTTGGCTTAGATGTGAGATTTCCATGTTCCATGTTGATCTCTTGTCAAAAGTTAACCCTAAATATTTTTACTTAAGTACTGACTGTATCTGACTGCCATTTCTTGTTGTAGATAGACACTCATCCCATCGTTTTGTGAAAATGACTTGAGTTGATTTGTTTTCATTTAGAATATACAAGGAAAAGCTAATTTTCTATATTGGGCTGTATAACATACATCACAAAAATTTAGTAAAAAAATCCTTTATAAAACGTATATTTATTAAAAAAAACTGTTTCGGACTAAATCACAGAACGTTTTCGGAATAAATGTTTTATCTTCAGTGCTGCTACAAGATATACATATTTAAAGCCACTAAATACATGGGTAAAAGTATATACCCTTTAAATGTTGTTAAATTGGTATTAGATTATAGCAACAGCTGCCATCCACGGTCTAATTGGAGAAGTCGTCTCCGGACCAGTAATGCATGTGGGATTGAGGTTGCCACGAAGTGAATCTACTTAAAACTTTAAACATTCTATAAAGTTAACAGCAATTACATAATATTTTACCCATTTAAATATATTTAATGGGTTTTCACCCAAGTATTTAGTGTGTAGCAGCATTGAAGATGGAATATTCATTCCAAATACGTTCTGTGATTTAAATCCAAAAGGGTTTTTTAATACTAATTTTTTTATAATAATTGATGGATTCGACGACCGTAACTTGATGGAAATTCATTGAATGTCGGTAGACGATGTACTGGTATGTTTCTTAGGAACTAATAGACAACTCGATAAATTTTTATCGTATATTAATTCACTTTATAATCATATTGAATTTACAATAGAAACAGAACAAAATCAATCCATAAATTTTTTAGATTTAAAAATTATCAGACTTAAAAATAATCATGACTTCTCCATATTTCATAAACTTACCCATACTGACACGACTATACACAATTCATCATCCCATCCAACACAACATAAATTGGCAGCCTATCATAGTATGTTACATAGATTAACAGAAATTCCGATGTCAAAATACAACTTTGAGACAGAATAAAAATATCATCAGGCAAATAGCAGTAAACAACGGAAACAACGAACAAACAATTAATAAAATTTTGAGGGTATACAAGGCAACTATCGAACACGGAGACAGAATCTGTTTCCGGCTTCTATACAACATGTAGCTTCTCCTTAAAATTTTAAAGTGTTTGTTTGTCTTTGTGTATTGTATTTTGTATTGTTATGTCCAAATTTTACATTTATGACATTCTACTCATGTCAGGATAGGCCACAATTGACGAAATGCCCCTGAAGATGATCTATTGATCGAAAGTACTTGGGCAAGATTAAATTAATCACCGTGCTCGATAGTTGCCTTGTATACCCTCAAAGTTTAATTATTCGAACATTAAACCTTATATTGAATTAATAAAATGTTAAATCAAAAACTACACAAGAAAGCCCTGAAATTAGTATTTCCATCACCAGAGAAAAAACCCAGTACCTTCTGCTCGGTTACATATACAGGCAAAATATCAACAAAAATAGCCAAACACATAAAAAAGAAAGGAATAACACCAGCTTTTCGAATAAATAACAACCTAGGCAAATATATCAAAAACAACAAGAGCCAAAATAAAAAACACTTACACAGTGGCGTGTACAAACTTAAATGTGACGACTGCCCAAAAACTTACATCGGTCAAACTGGTAGAATCTTTAATAAACGAATAGCAGGACATAAAAGGGCTTTCAATAATAGAAAAACAGATTCTACATACGCACTTCACCTTCTAGATCACAATCATTCTTTTAATTTAAAATTCTTCACATTCAAAATAAAGGCCTTAAGCTATCCTTGTTAGAATCTATGGAAATCAACAAATTAAAAAACACAGATAAAATTCTGAATGACCAACTTGAGAAAAACAGTTCTCCTCTCCTCAACCTATTTCATTAGAGACTATAAAGTGTAAATGCATGCCAAAAATAGATCACTTAAGAAAGGCAATCAGTCAAACAGCTGTAGGGATAAGAAGTTAAAATAAATTTTGTGGAAGTTTAAAAAACAAAGTTGTGTTTTATTGTTACACTAATTTTTTTGTTTTCATTTATTTTCACTTTCCATATAAAGCTATATTTCTAGCTGGTTAAGGTAGTTTTGCGTGGATGCCCTGATGGGTTCCTTGTTGGTAGCCATCATGGTGGTATTATAGGTGAATGTTAAGATTTTCTTGTATTTGTGATTGAGATATCTACAGTAAATATCGGGTAAAGGAGAGAACCTTTTCTTTAAATATATATATATATATATATATATATATATATATATATATATATATATATATATATATAATATATATATATATATATCGTACAGTACCTTGTGACTCCCCTGATTTAATGGGAAAATATGTTGAAGGTGTTGTGCTATATTTTAGTTGGCAGTAACGATCTTGGATATAGGATTTTATAATGAGGTACTAGAGAGTTAGAAGGATGCTTTTAAGTTTGTATAAGAGTCCATTGTGCCATACTTTATCAAATGAATTTTCTGCATCTGACAACGCAGCTGTACAATTTTTTTTCTAAATGGCAGTGAGGGTTATGTTATTATTCTATGGTTCTGTTGTTTTGTAGAATGTTTCACACGAAATCCGAACTGGTGCTTAGGTATTTCTGCATCTAGGTTTCTTATTCAATATTCATCTGTAATCTAAAAAGCTGTAATCTTTCAAAAATGTTAGACATTGTATACAACATGCTGATTAGTCGATAGGATGATATTTTATCTCTAGGTTTGCTGTTTTGTGAAGCATAATTGTAGATAAAATTAGTATCCGCAATAGGACAAGCATGAGAAATGTCCTAATTGAGAGAGAGAAAGAGAGGGAGAGAAACATAGGTTGCTGGATACAAATATGAGCGCTTTTACCTATAATTTATGAATTTCTTAAACACTACCGGTTCAAAAAGCTATCCAAAGGTACTAAGATTTTACTGAAGCGAAAAATACAAATAATATAAAAAAACTAGAACATAAACAAAAACAAAACAAACATAAACAAAATCCTAGAATTACAATATTATTTACTAGTTAATATAAGTCTTTTGCATAACTGTGTACACTATTATTATCCATCCAGTCACTACCACGCTGATCCTGAATGTAGAGATGTGGCAACCCTGGGTATCTAAAGGTACCAAGAATTATTCGAAAACCTTCCTAGACAAAATTACTGGTTCACACAAAAAAAGCACTACTAACTTATAATAATTACTCTTATACCAAAATCTAGACAAATCTTTGACAGATCGGAGAGCACAGTGTAAATGTGTGTGTGGTAAATCCTTGACGGATTTTTTGAGGGCTTCTGCCAACAGAGATGTTGCTTCAACTTCATCTTAATTTGCTCGTAACGTAGACGTGTGCCTCGTGTTCGGATAGTGTTTTGGAAACTGGATATGTCTTTATGCCCACGAAACACTTATTGTCATTTATATATTTACACTGTTGGCAAAGTATTGTCAAAAGTTGAGTTACATTTTTAATTCTAAATTAAAAAATATTTTTTTTGTTTTGCATGTTCGTATGCATTTATTGTAACACTAATTATTTGTGCAAATTTCCATGTAATTGGAAAATATGCTAGTCTGAATACACTATTTTATATTGTATTTACCGTCACTAATACTTTTTGTGGTAGATTTTTCAGTATCAATCCTGTTATGAGATCGAATCCAGATGTCTTGTTGTTGTTGGATTTTTCTATTTCTTTAAGTTGATTTCAGTTGAGTTTAATATTAATTAAATTTACCATTAACTTGTTTTAGATTAGTTCAAGATCGCGAACTTCAACTATATGACGGCAAAAGACTAATAAGTAAAAATCGATACGAGGTTTTGCAAAAGAAGTTTAACTTGACCGAGGAACAATTAACTGAAAACGGAGTATTCCCAATACACCCCGATTTCAGAATTGTTGCTATTGGTGAACCTCCGAATTTGCAATCTCCAACGGGAAATTGGATGTCACCAGAAATGTTAAGTATATTTCTTTTTCACGAGATGAGAACTTTGAGCAAAGAAGAGGAAATCCATGTAATTACCACAAAAGTAAGTAAAACAACTCTTTTTGCTATATCAGGGTATAAAAATAACAAAAAGTAAAAAGTCTTCATAACCTAAATCAAAATATTTATATAAATATAATCCCCGGCCTCGCTATTTTTAGATAGTTAATGAATGTTTAAAAGAACACGACATGAACATATTTGGGAGTATCTGGGAAGACCCATAACATTTGTTCCAACTTAATTTGCCTCTTTTAAAACCTTTGCTATGATCTGGTCTGCGCCAAGATATTTTCGATTGTTTAGCGTTTTACTTGCTTTTTCTAACTCTGACTTTAGATGCTAGTTGTCTCTCTGCAGTAAACTCGTCATGACTTGTATCCTGAGAATCAACTGCATACAGTCTTTGACAGTATTTTCTTTATATCTCCGCAATGCACTTCTCGTCATTAATAATTTGTTGGTTTTTATCTATTATTGTTTGTGTGATTGGTTTAAATTCTCTAGCTAGATATCGGACTTTGTTGTAAAACTCGTAGGATTCATAACAGTATACATATACTTCATCTAATTTACATACCGATGCACGTTATCGGCGTCATAGCCCGTGACGTCACATGATACCAACACGAAATATTTAGGCGGTGGGTGTGTTCTTTTTTAGAATCACTTTGCCGAGTACACTGGCATTATAGTCACTAGACATATTTTATTATATACGCGTAGAAATAATATTTAAAGATTTCTATTAATGTTAACTTAAAGAAATACACAATAATATGTTTTATTTAATTTGTATAAATGCATTATAAAGCGTTTTTATGAAGAACATTTGTTCGGAACACACTGTAACTGTAATCAAACGAAGTTGAAATTTTGGTATAAATTGGTAACACTTATTTGACAGTTGCGGTGTTGACACTTTTTGTACTTTATTATTTTGAATTTTAAAGTGAAAACCTCTTGTTTTATATTTTTACCTATTTAATAAAATCTGTTCTTTTTAGAACAAAATTAGTGTGTTTTATTTCAAAAATGTCGTGTAAGAATTTAAATAGTCGTTGTAAAGAGATGGTAATACTTTTGCAATAATTATGTGACCTATTTGATTTAAAATCGAGTCAGGATTTTTTTATACTTTGGCAACTATGTCAACTTCGATCTCTGTCAATGATAATGACATGCATCGGTAAGTAAATTAGATGAAGTATACCTCTGCATTATTCATTTATATATATATATATATATATATATATATATATATATATATATATATATATATATATATATATATATATATATATATTTCCTTCCTAAATGTTCTTTTTATTTCTTTGGTTAACCTACATAATTCTATTTTTTTGCTGTCGTTCTGATGTAAGGGAGATTTGATTCTTCTGAACTTTTAAAGAAGTTGCAACGTTCTGTTGGTCATCCAGTGCTTCTCTTGACGATCTTCTTTTCTATTCTAGTTCTTTCTACAGATATTTTTATGACATTTCTGAATACTTTCCATATTTCTTCTAAACTGTTTTGTGTCTCTGAAATGTTAATTTCCTTTAAAGCGACTCTAAATGTTTCTGGATTTGAAATGTTAAATATTTTGCAGCTTGGTTCTTTTTAACTTCAGATCTAAGCAAGTTCATAACAATTTATAATCGGATCTATATTCTGCTCTTGGTCTTGCTTTTACGTTTGTAAAACATGTCTTCCATTTGTTTCTAATCAATATTTTGATGCTATCTTGTTTTTAATGCCGGTGCACACTCTCTATAAACAACAGCCAATTGATTTCTAGAGAGCAATTTTCTCTCATATAACGTCATCGAGGGAGGGCTAGACTAATCGTAAGATAAAAGGCACAGACTCTCTTACACCGTTCTTGATATAAATACGGGAATCCCAAAAATTTTATTTCTTACTTCTATGTACTTTTAACAATTTTGAATAGTATATTTTTATTTTAGTTTGGTCCTCCTTCAGCACCACTGCAAAAAATCATTAATCTTGCACACATCTTACGAGATAATACCGATCCAGCTCTGAAAAACTTATCGGGCCATCTGTCGACGAGAAAGATTCTAAAAATTGCATCCAGACTGAATAAATACCCCACAGACGATGTTTACAACTTGATGGAAGAAACCTTTATGATCAAATTCTTGCCTTCCCTTACTCGTCAAGCCTTAGATAAAACAATGGAGAAAATAGGAATAACTCTTATTCCTCAGGATAGAAATTCAAAAATTAAATGTGAAATTAAAAGCGGTGTGTTAACGATAGGAGCTACTACAGCTCCATTATACCAAGCCAGCAACTTGACCAAAATTCCAGACACCTTGTTTTATGACGTACCTCAACATTTGTCCCTAATGGAGAGGCTCTTGCAGGATTTTCAGTTGGGTTACAACTTGCTACTTGTTGGTAACCAAGGTGTGGGTAAGAACAAAATCGTCGATAGGTTTTTGGAACTATTAAAGAGACCTAGAGAGTATATTCAGCTACACAGAGACACCACAGTACAAACTCTTACTATACAACCAACGATCAAAAATGGGATTTTGGTACATGAAGATTCGCCTCTCGTTAAAGCTATTAAATATGGACACGTTCTCGTTATAGACGAAGCAGACAAAGCACCAACGCATGTTACATGCATTCTTAAAACACTGGTAGAATCGGGAGAGATGATTCTTAGCGATGGTCGAAGAATTGTCCCAAATACAAAAGCACTGAAAGGATCAAACGCCGATAACGTTATTATTACTCATCCTGATTTTAGAATGATTGTTTTAGCAAACAGACCTGGATTCCCCTTTTTAGGAAACGATTTCTTCGGCTCATTGGGCGATCTTTTCAGTAGCCATTCTGTTGATAATCCTTCTAGAGAATCTGAAATAGAACTTCTAAAACAATATGGACCTGACGTAGATGTAAATACTATTAAGCAACTAGTTGGAATTTTTGGTGATCTGAGAAATATGGCAGATCAAGGTCTTATTAACTATCCATATTCTACCAGAGAGGTTGTGAATATTGTTAAACACCTTCAGGTAAGTTTTTAGCTCATTGATTTTTCTTGCTTTATTGAAGTGAATATTTCTTATCGCTCGGTATGATATATATGTTTTTCCACGGACCCGAAATCATGTTTAGCGTCCCTCGAAAAATCGAGACGTGTGCAGTAACCTTGCAGTATACAGTAACTTACATAATATATATATACTATATATATAATACTTATTATATAAAAAATAAAATGACGTTTAACAAACTTCAACGTTTTACCAAAATAAAATCAAATAAAATTATATAAATAAAATCGAATCGAATAAAATAAAGGAAATTAAATTAAAAACTGTCCCTCCATGCGTCAACGATAAAAACATTTGTTTCCCCTTCTCGGTCACTAAGAAAGTGCCGCATCCTGTTGTTTTTTTTAATCCATTCCATAACTTCTAAATAAATTAAAATCAAACAAATAATAGATAAGTTAGCAAAATTTAATTTTTTAGTCTTTTAGTTATTAGTATTGAAATATTCACTTTGTTTACATCCAATAATTATTATAATAAATTTACAGTTTTCTCCTGAAGAAGTCCCAAAATCGTGACGAAATATTCGGCCATAAAACAAATAGAGTTTTATTTCGTTCAGACTGATTGCTGATACTATAAAACAATATATATATATATATATATATATATATATATATATATATATATATATATATATATACAAACATCATATATAACAGTTTATTAGGGCTGCAGTCAGAAGTTTGGCCGGGATGTGTTAAAGAAACACACTTTTGACTTTTGGTCTAGCTTTCGGAATTGTTCAATTCTTTTTTTCAAGACACTGAAGATTCTATTAAGAAGAATGTGTAAATAATATTTACACTACAATATTAAGTATAAAATAATAGACAAAATACATTCTAAAATTTTTAAAAGTCCGTTAAGAATAGTAAAACTTAGTTTATGACATCTTTTAATGGTGTGTTTTAACTTTGATACATAGAGAACAGAAAGAAAAAAACAAAAACAGTATGATTAAAATGTAATTAAGAGTTCTTCATGTTGTAGTAATGGATGTATTATAATAAAACTGTCTTAATGGTATGCAACATGTTATGCATACAGGTGTATTAAATGTTTTTTTTTATTTTTTGTTTTTTTTTTCAAGTAAATAACAATAAAATCCACAAGGAAAATAATTCCTGCAGCTGGCTGTATACCACGTATCACAAAAAAGAGGTTAGATCTTTGTAAATGGGTATATTTAAGAAATATACCCATTTACAAAGATCTAACCGGTTTTTTTTTTTAAATAACAATAAGTGTTGCTCAGTTTATCTATGTCAGACTTTTTATTTATGCAAGACGTACTAGATTGTATGAAACACATTTTTAAGAAAACAGGTTTTGAATGGTTTTTTTATTTTGCCAAAATACAGGAATCCTCGAAATTAAATTCATGTTTTAGCGTTTATGCATGTTCTGTGACAGTAGCATTATCCTATAAAGGAGCTCTTCAACTCTTGCTTCTTAATAACAGCCAGATCAGTATCGTTGTTTCTTTGGAAATGTCATAGTATTTTTACAGGCAGCAACCTTAAATGCTTCCTTTATATCGATTTGTTATGTAAGAAACTAGTTTCAGTCAGCTATGCAATAAGATCTGTTTCGAAGCAGAATTTAGCATCTTCCAAAATAACATATTTTTCTTTGTTCGAGTCTCATCTTCGATATGGACTTCCTTTTTACGGTTCTAGTACAGCTACCCAATATAATGTTATTTTTAAATTACAAAAAAGAGCAATACGGTATCTTTTTGGCCTCAGTAGAATAACACATTGTAGAAGCTACTTCAAAAATCACGGGATTTTAACTCTTCCCGCTTTGTATATTCTAGAAACTGTTTTCTTAATTGGTAAACACCTACATGTTTTTCCAGCAAGACCCAATCATGAATAGTCCACCAGAAATTCAACCTTTGATATGTATTTATCGATTCCGTCCACTGAGTTAGTAAAGAAATCTATATTATATTCGGCAAAAAATTATACAATTAACTCCCTTTGCAACTTAAATCAACAACTTCTTTCCTTAAGTTCTGTAAATTGACAAAAGCCTATCTATCTGAAAGACCATATTATTCAGTGGAAGAGTTTCTTAACGGGAAACTAAGAAATTACAGTAACTTTAGGTACAAGCAACTAAAGTATTATATATTTGGGTATCACATGCAGCAACTAAAACTTATTCGTAAACTACTTCATAAGGTTTTATTATGCAATTTGCAATTTAGTTAGATTTTGCAATGAATTGTATATTTTACTATCTTTTATTATGTTATATTGACAATTTTTGTAATTTTAGTAAATTTTAATTGTTATTGTTATTTTTTTTACTTTTTGTAAGCTTTGTCCATAAAATTGTACAATTTTCAGTGACAATAAAGCATATTTCTATTTTAGAACCCTACCCGTTCCATAAGGTTTAAGGTTTAATGTATTTATATGTTGTTGTTCATGTTTTGTTAAACAATAGTTTATGTTTCCTTACGTTTATTAATATTTTCTTAAATACATATTCCTGAACTTTTATCTTTCTTCTGTCTACTGCTATGTCTAACGTGACATACTAATGTTGCCAACTAACAAAGAATCTGGAGTTATACACCATAATTCACTATATTTTTTCAACGTATCACTCACTGGATAAGAGAACATACTCAATACCCTTAACAGGTTAATGTTTAGAGAAGAATTTTTTAAACTTTTTATTGCTTGTGTATTATTTTAGTTTTAGTATTTTAAAAATAAAAGCAATCAAACCAATAGACATTATTTATTGAAATGAAAAAACTGTTTCAAATACCTTACAATTATTGGAAGGTACGCCGCTGACTAAACGGGAAATATTACAGTCTATCACCTCGCCTCTTTCCCCACGCCTATAAACTTTTCGACTTCAAATTTAGGCGAACATAGTCCAGCATGCCCAGTCCATCTTTATTTATACGTCCATGAGTAATTAAGTTATTAAACGTGTAAGAATCTCCAATATAAAATTAATTGGATTCGCTGTAGGAAATTGTGAGGATATCTGTAAGGCGTTTAGCGAGTTTACTATTAGGAGCATCAATGGAAGTGTCAATAGGCCTCATTGAAGTAGTGCGTTTGTGAACTTTAGGCAGTGTATAAAATCTAGGTGCAACTACATTGTAAATTTTCAAGGATTTTGCAACTGCTGTTGTTATGGATTTGGAAGAAGCTAAATGCGAAACCAGCTTTTTCGCCTTTTGTTTTGTATGAACTTATAACAACATGTAAAGAAAAGATACCTTTTCACATACCTTTTATTAAATGATATGTAGATGATTTGATTTTATCGGTCACTGAAAACAAAGTAACTGATGTCTAAAACACCTTTAACGCCCAGTGTGAACACTTAATGTTTACTGTTGAGAGAGAGGCTGATAATATAATTCCTTTTTTAGACATGCTTATCCATCGTGGCAGTGATCGAAAGCTAAGTACGGAGTGGTATCGTAAACCTTGTTTTAGTGACCGTTTGATAAACTTTCAGTCTCAACATCCATCTAAGATGAAAACAAATTTGGTTTTGGCCTTAAAAACTAGGGTTATCAACTTGTCACACATCGAGTTCAGGGACAAGGGACTAAAAAAGTTGAGATCTATACTACAAGAGAACTCCTATCCCAGAGGGCTTTTAAATAAACTCATTTTCGGCTCTCCTTTTCCTTCCCAATTTTCCGACAACCAAAATTTTCATAATAATGAGGTCCGACAATTAACATTGACACACAACACATCAGTGATACCATCTAAAATAACTTATGGTTGCTTACCCTATATTCCAGTTCTGACACCTAAGCTAATGAACATTTTCAAAAATGTTAGTGGTTTAAAAATTACAACTAAGAATACAGGAGGCATCGAATGTTGTTTATTCTCTCTCTCTCTCTCTCTCTCTCTCTCTCTCTCTCTCTCTCTCTCTCTCTCTCTCTCTCTCTCTCTCTCCTCTCTCTCTCTCTCTCTTTCTCTCTCTCTCTCTCTCTCTCTCTCTCTCTCCTCTCTCTCTCTCTCTCTCTCTCTCTCTCTCTCTCTCTCTCTCTCTCTCTCTCTCTCTTCAATCCTGACCCCCCAGGGGGAGTGTAGTGGTCGACGTGATGTCGTGTATTGTCCGTCTCCAGAGATCTCTGTCTCTGGCCATTTCTTTTAATTCATGCGTAGGTCTTCGGCATATTCCTGTAATTTGATCTATCCATCTTGTTGGGGATCTTCCTCGTGATCTTCGGCCTTCTACCTTTCCTTGTATTATGAGTCTTTCCATGTTTTCTGTGTTTGCTCTCATAACATGCCCAAAATATTTTAATTGTTGGAGATGGACTTTACTAGAGAGTCGTTGGCTAACTTTAAGCTCTCTTAAAATTGAATTATTTGTTCTGCGGTCGGTCCAAGGAATTCGTAACATTCGTCTCCAACAGAACATTTCAGTGGCGTCTATCTTTCTTCTCTCCGATTGTCTCAGAGTCCAAGATTCACATCCGTAGCTCAGTATTGGGAATATTAAGCAGTTGATCAACCTCATCTTTATCGCTCTTTAAATTTGACAGTCCTTCCATATTTTGGTCATTTTTGCTGTGGCAACTTTTGCTAGATCACATCTACGTTTAATCTCTTCTTGTAATGACCCTGTGTTTGTGATGATCCCAGATATAAGTATGAGCTCACAACCTCGAACTGATCAATTGTGGTTATGTGTGGATGATTGTTGTGTAGTCTATCCACTATCATGATCTTTGTCTTTGATATGTTTAATTGCAGACCAAATATTTGACTTTCGTTTTCGATCAGTCGTATAAGTTCTATCAGCTCTCCTTGACTATTTGCAAGAAGGGCTGTGTCATCTGCGAAACGTAGGTTGTTTAGTTTATGACCATTTATTGAGATGCCCTTTTCCCATCCTTCAAGTGCTCTTCGCATAATATACTCCCCATATATGTTGAATAATTGTGGAGATAGTATACATCCTTGTCTGACACCCCGTTCTGGATGAAATTCGTTCGAAAGTGTGTCAAGTACTTTAACTGATCTTTAACTGAACTTTTTGTATTTTACCATGTTTTAAATAATTGTAGCTCTCATCTGATGATGCCAATGAAAATTGGCGAAATATAATGAACTGTTGAACAGACTACACTTGGCTTTCAATCAGCTGTATACCCAAGTAGTCTCAACCCCTTTTCATCTACCAGATCAGCTGTTATTTTAGAAGATATATATATATATATATATATATATATATATATATATATATATATATATATATATATATATAACCAAAAGAAACAAATCAAAAATTAAGGTCATTAAAATGATTATTGGAGACTATGTTGCCGGCTCACTAGATTTAATAGAAAAATGGAAATTGATTTAGACATAGTAGATACAATCCAAGCCGAACGACTTGACTAGTATGGAGACCTGCAGATAATGCCTGAAAATAGATAGCCAACAAAATAGAAAAATGGACTCCTCCCACTAGAAGAAAACGGGGTAGACCAAGTTCTGGAGAGATGAAATCTCTCCAAAATTGTAATCGTCAAATAACGGAGGTGAAAAAATTGGATACGAAAATTGAGCGAAGAATGAATTAGTATTTGTTAAAATTCGGAAAGTCCGTGTCGGAAAGCTATTAAACTTTGCAAGGAGTTTATGGAGTTGATTGCTTATCCCGTGCCAGAGTTTTCAAACAGTACAAACGTTTTAAGGAGGGTAGGAATAACGATGAAGATGAGGGGTGTCCCTGGTGGCCTGTGACCTAAAAAGTAACTTGGATGTTCAATAAGTAACTGAAATAGTTCGAACAGGCCGACGATTAAGTATTAGGGCCATTGTTAAATATGTGGACATTAATAAGCATAAAATTGTGCGCATGCTCCTAAAGCACCCACCGTATTCGGCAGATTTAGCACCCTTCGGCTTCTAAGGACGTAAATAAAAAAAAATATTGGAATAAAAAATAAAAAATTATAAAAAATAAATAAAAATATTGTACTGACTGTCTCGAAGTTTAATTGTCAATGTCTATCTCGTAATTTTGTGAAATTAATCCGAATTGTTTTAGAAATATCCCAACGCTGATTTAGAAGATGTATTGTTCAATGTTTTCGACTTCGATAGAGATAGCCCCGATATGTTAGAAACAGTAGGAGAGGTTCTACATAAACATGGGTTTTCTAAAAACGTTGTAACCACCGAATATATTGCAGCTAAGCGAGCGAAGGAAAATGTTACAGTAAATAGGTATAGTGGGTAAGTAGATTCTTAGAGTTAATATTCATTTAAGGATTTTTCCATTAAAGGTTCGAACTATACTCCTTGTTTATCCATGCTTGAAGGTAGCTTTATTCCTTACGTATTATTCTCAGTTTTTTGCAAAATCTTCCCAATTTGATCTCATATATTTATTTGTCGTATACTTTCCCTCGTTGTTGATAGTATTGTGTTTTTTTTATTAAACTTTTTTAGGTTTCATTCTTCTTAAGTAACCAGTTTAATTGTTTTTGATGCATTTTCTTTTATTTGTAATATCTTCGTTTTTTGTATATAAGTTGGTTTAGATGAGGGTTGGTTGGTTTAGAGGTAAGATGTTTCAAAATACTATACTGACCCATATCTCCAATGTCCCCTCATGGGGAGGTTTTATTTTTCCCGTCATCATCCTCCAATCAAAATCCTCCTCCTCATTATTTAATCCATTATCAAAGTTTGGTGATTCAATATTATTAACTTACTATCTCCATTGACTGCGATCCTGTGTCAGATAGATGGCTTCATGTGGGGATTTTCCCACCATAGTCTTCATTTGATCTGTCCATTTTCTTGGAATCTTACTCTTGGTCTTCGGCCTCCTACTACCAATAGTTACATGGTCCCTGTTCTTCTACCAATATCACCGAAGTAATTTAGGTATGCTCGATTCACTTTTTTTTAATACGCTGTCTTTTATATTAATCTTTTCCAGAATTGACAAGTTGGTTCTGTGTTCCGTCCACTGCATGCGTAGAATTCTTAAGTAAACCCACATTTTTAAAGTTGGATCTTACTTCTCTCGATTTTTTTGGCATTGCCAAGCCTGAGCTTAGTCTTTATAGGTACTGTTCGGTCTTTTCATATTTTAATTAATTCAGCTGTTGCAGTCGGGCCATTGCTAGTCTACGCTTAATTTCTTAGGAGCAATCGCCATTTTTTGTTACCATGTAGCCTCTAAATATACAATTCTGTCCACTACTTGGCGTATGTGCAGCAGATTGTTATTTGCACTGTTTACGGTCATTATTTTTTCTTTTCCGATGTTGATCTGAAGTACGAGTTCCGTGCTTGTCCGTTTAATGATGGTAGTTTCGACTTAGTTGCTGCTAGTCCTGCTAGTATTAGTGTCTCATCTGCCTATTGCTTGTTATTGATTTTTCTGCCTCCTATAGTGATTTTTCTATTCCATTGGCTGATTTTTTATCATAAAGATTTCTTGTTAGATTAACTAGGTGGTTAAGCACTCCCATTTATCCCATTATGCTCTAGGGAGAAACCCATTTTACTAAATCGGAAGCATTTGTGTAATTCATGAAACAGAACAACATTGGTATGTTCTCAACATGTTCTCTCCCATTTTACATTTTCATTTTTTTTGTCAAAATAGCAAGAGATAAATGACCAAGCGCTAGAATCTCTTAGAGGTGTCAATCAGTCAACGAATAAGCAGAATCGCTTAGGGCGAGGAGGAAGAAGAAGACATTTCAGTTTCTAATATTCCATATTCCTACACGGTATTGTAATTTACTATTTTCTTTGTTTTGATAATATCTGTTTCTATCTTCTTTAATATCAACTTTTTTTCCTAGCCTATTCATCAATTTTTGCGTTGGGTATAGTTGATATAAGTATCACACAATCTGCATGTAATAGACGATTTCACGTATATACGTTTTTTCTTTCAACTAGGCTGGATACAAAAGAACCAAAACATGGTGAAGAAGATCCAGATAATGCACCTCATGTAGGAGGCAATAGATGGGCAGGTGGGACTGGTGGAAGAGATACTGCTGGTTTGGGAGGTAAAGGTGGCCCATACCGCTTGGATAAAGGCCATAAGATTTTTCAGGTAAATAGTAAAGTCTTTTTATCATACCAATATTATCAATAATTTTATATGATTTATTTAGTAACAATTTAATAATCCATTAATGAACTTCCTTTAAAACGGAAGAATCGTATATAGGTACATAGATATATATATATATATATATATATATATATATATTATATATATATATATATATATATATATATATATATCGTCGGGATACTGCCAAAAGTGACCAAGTCATGTTTAGGTAGTTTCGAGAAAATGAAATGTAAAGTTTTAGAAGTGCCTATAAAATCGAACATGATAACTACACAGTTTTGAAGGTTTTATGTTTCGAGGGTTAGTCATCTAGAGGCAAATACTTTAGTTAATAAAATAACTCTTATGGTACACTAACAAAAATGCAATAAAGATAACTTGGTCACTTCCGATGTAAGATAAAATTAACCAATATGACTTGGGCATGTCTAACTTGACATGGTAAAACTAACGTAAGAACCGATAAAAATAAAAAAAATTGTTTGTAGTATAGATGTTTATTGCTTACATACAATAAAATTAATCAATATCAATATCGCTATCTGAATCTGATACTGCTGGTTCTGGAACTCTATCAAGCGCCGTATTATTCACAGGCAAAGACTTGTACCAATCATGATATTCAGGCGGAATTATGCTACTTGTTATAAGTTTAAGCAAACTGTTTTTCTTTTTTTTCCGTTATTGGTAACAACGATTTATATAATGGCTGTAGATCCATCGCCGTTGCTGTTGGTCTTCCTCTTCCAGCTACCCGAAGCACATGAAACTCGGTCTCTGAAGGTCTGTATTTAAATAAAATACATCCTGGATTAGCCTTTTCATACCTCATGCATTTTATTCTTAGCCATTCAACCTTGTTTCCTTTCCCATCTTTGCTTTTATTTTTAATTAAGGTATTTGCTAGAGCTTTTAAGTCAAATAAATCAGAAAATCTTAATTGTTGAACATTATAGGGACTACAACTTTTATTTTTATTGCGATTAGAACGTGCAAGTCGGAAAATGTTTAAAAGGTCATTGTGTGTAAAGATGCATACATTTTTCTTTGCTTTTTCGATTGCAGAATGCATTGAGTCCACTTCCATGTATGTGTGCCCTTTCTCCAAAAAATTATGTTGGATAACATCAAAATGCATGTGGTGTACAATATACAGAAAGAGAGCAGAAATAAATTGATTTCGGTTCTGTCCACTGTAGCTATCAGAAAAAACACTAATTTCTTTTATAGTAGTTGGAATACTTTTTATCCAGCAGAGTAACGCAGTTCCTATTTCACAAGTTCCCATTTGACCATTTAATTCCGTCCAAGAAAAGCAGTGAGCATTATTGGGTTTCGCAGCTTCATAAATAGTCAAATTGTAGGCACACAACTTCCTTGTATAATACATTTGAGAAACGGCCGAAGTTGGAATATTTAAAACGCTTTGTAGATCAAAAGTTGCACTTAAGTTAAAAGTAATTTCGGAAACGTATGGTTTATTATCTTCTTTGCATTTATTGACGTATAAGTCATACATCTTGGAAATTGATAAACTTGGATCTAAATACTGTCGCTTTGAAGATTTTCTGCAATAATGGGAGTCCATCGCAGGAAAGCTGGCAATATGTTCTCTTACTATTACTATCATGTCTTCAGATGTTTTGTTAGATGGAACATGATGACCTCTGTTATCTGAAATAGTAAACAATCCATGTTCATTTGCTTCCTTCAAAGCTGTATCCACAGGCCCGTGGCCAATGCAAAGAGTTTTAAGAAAGAATACTTTGCACACTTGAATTCTGTGCTCATTCTTCTGGAAATGATATTTCCTAGATGTTTCCTTCTTAGTGCCTGTTCCAGTACGAACCCTTCGATATTTTGGCTTAGTCCACGAAACACAAGATAGAATAAAGTCCTTTTGCCTTTCATACTGTAACTTCCAGAAACTTGCGCATAACTTGTCACGTTCTTCTTCAGAAAAACTGGTTGAACACTGAAATTTACAGTTTTTGCAGTTGACCTTTTTTGGTTTTTTTGGACTTTTTATACCAGTTTTACTTACGTAGGGAATACTTAACGATCTGTTCTGTTTGGCAATATTCTTCTTCCATTTTTCTGGACTGGCTTTTTTTCATCTTGGTTTTTTTACTAATACTTCATCCTCACTACTTTCATCTTCAGTGGCAATGTAATTATCATCACTCTCTGTTCCAAATGGTTCTGATTCAGTCTCACTCGTTGTAAATTCAGCATCTACATGCAGTTTGATAGGTATTTGATTTTGATTACCACCCGATGAACTGTTATTGAGGCTAGTAGTTGGATTTGAAATAAAAGAAGTTATCAATAATCTCATCATTTCACTCGTATATTATTTATGTAATACCCCTTTGGCATAACTTGAAATATTTTATTAAAAATAAATCATAATCAATCAAATACAATAAAAGTAATATCTAACCTATAACGTAATTTTTGGAACATAATATAAATAATTACATACCTGTAATGTTTACTGCAATTTCATTTGTTAAATTTTCTGCACACAAGGAGGCTATGTACTTTCCTCTGGAACACATTTTTTGAATTTTCTTTGCGTTAGGACAATGATTTTGACACAAAATTAAGTATCCTTGTACGTAACGTCTACTTAAGTTAAATTGATCAGACAAGTTTAATAACAACAACCTACCGAAAAAAGTGACCAAGTCGCCTTGGTCGCCGTCATTTGGTCAATAAACATCAAAATGAGATTTTTTTGACTTCGTCACTTTTGGCAGTATGCCGACTATATATATATATATATATATATATATATATATATATATATATATATATATATATATATATATATATATATACGTTGATCAAATGTTTACTGTGTTGGTATATTTCAGGATATTGTTTTATCCCTTCAGATATAGTTTTCGGTTTGGCAGAAATAGGGGTTTCGACGAAATATTTGAAAATTTTGTTCTCTTTTATTTGTGATTTATCTTAAAATTAGAGATTTTCGTTAATGTGTCTGACTTATGTTATTTTAGGTCTTCGTGGTCGAAGAAAGTTCTACATATGACTATCAGGTCGGTCTCTATCTTGAAGCATGTTTAAATTTTCCTTAATTATTCCTCTTAGAAAATTACTATCAGCACATATGTCTATGTACGTTGCTAGATGCCTTAAAAGTTCACAACAACGAAATAGCTCACAATAGGTTGTCCTTGCTCTTATTATCTTTCGTTAGTTAAATCCCTTCCTCTTAACAAAGAAGTTAGTTTCTATTGTTTTAACCCTGAACAACCCAGTTTACTTTCTAAGAAAAGCTGAGATGTTGTTCTTCTATGAAATAATCTTTCCTGTCGAGAGAAAGCAGAAGTTATAGAAAATAAGGCCACACCGGACTTGTCAATTAAGTACCATTTTCGCGTGGCACTCTTCGACCAGTGCTCCCACACTTTTTTTATCCCTAGCTGGTCTAAATATCGAAAATGGAGTTCATTTTCGTTGTGGTTCCTGTTGCATGCGGTTGTCTTCATCAAACGGCGATAAGTGTAATTTCAATTCACCATTATCCATCTACCTTCGCACAGTGTTTCCTACAGTAAATTTTCTCTTTTGTCGTACAGACGTCTTCCAATTCGATGACACTGAGTCAATTCTGTTTACCGTTTCCTACATCCATTCAGTTCAGTCTATTCTGTTTCAGTCTAGTCTATTGTGAGAATTGATCTGATGTATTACCTGTACCTACATTAATTTAATGATTGATGCGCTGATTGAATCCACCGTAATTCGTCACCCTAATTAAATCATCTACGCTGCTTGAGACGTACTAATACATCTGTCGCGGATGCAACCTGCCCGTTCTATAAAAGAACGTCATTACCAATCATATCATCATTATGCATCATATGCAAAGAAATTGAGAGACATGGTCAGAATAATCAGCCGAGCGATCTATTTAGAAAAATACGCTACCTGACAAGAGACTTCAGAGCCAGAACTTGGGCCATTGAAGATAACACTGGAACCCTGAGAACAAACAGAGAAGACATAGCAGAGACATAGAGATCGTATTGCAGGGACCTATATAAAGATGATCAACTCCAAGAGCTTGTTAGTAAAATCTCTGACGAGGTGGAAGAAGAACCTGATATACTCGAAAATGAATTAAGACAGGCTATCAACAAGCTCAAATATAACATAACACCAGGTCCAGATATGATAACAGCAGAAATGCTTAAAGCCACAGAAGAAACCGGCGTAAAGTTACTTCATCTACTCTGTAACCAAATATGGCATTCCAAACAATGGCCTGAAGACTGGACAAAATCTACAATAACGACCATACATAAAAAAGGCAGCTTCCATAAATGCGACAATTATAGAACTATCTCTCTTATATCCCATGCCAGCAAGATAATGCTACACATAATCAATGAGAGACTGAAAACATTCCTTCAAAGAGAAATTCCACAAGAGCAAACTGGATTTACCAAAGGTAGAGGCACTCGAGAACACCTGCTGAATATAAGACAGATAATCGAGAAATCTAGGGAATTCAACATCCCACTATACATCTGTTTTATAGATTTCCGTAAAGCGTTCGACAGGGTCAAGTGGAGACACTTATGGCGAATACTAAAAGAAGTAGGCGTACCACAACATCTAATTACGCTTATAACCGAACTATATGCACACACTACTGGATCAGTTAAAGTACTTGACACACTTTCGAACGAATTTCATCCAGAACGGGGTGTCAGACAAGGATGTATACTATCTCCACAATTATTCAACATATATGGGGAGTATATTATGCGAAGAGCACTTGAAGGATGGGAAAAGGGCATCTCAATAAATGGTCATAAACTAAACAACCTACGTTTCGCAGATGACACAGCCCTTCTTGCAAATAGTCAAGCAGAGCTGATAGAACTTATACGACTGATCGAAAACGAAAGTCAAATATTTGGTCTGCAATTAAACATATC